CTGTTTTTCTTCCTTAGCAGAGCTCTGTCAGCTTTCAACAGTTGCAGGAGTCTGCACCTCTAAAAATCCTTGCAAGACTGACAGTTAGACTATAAGAACTCTAGGGTAAGTGAGGCTTTCTCCATGAAGCTCGTGACTATAAGAACTCTAGGGTAAGTGAGGCTTTGTCCATGAAGCTCGTTAAGATAAGATTAGTAGACCTATACAATGCTATTGTAAAAAGGTATAAGAAATTTACCAGGTGTGAGTTACCCTAGGTTTGCTTTATTGCAGCGCTGGATGCACCAACAATCAGCTCCACCCAACGTGCATGCAGGTGATTACCAACACACAAGTTATATAGAATCAAAACATACATATTGATCATTTTTCTCAGAAAAGACAGTCCTATGATAATCATTTCTTGGCATTCATTTACATATTCTCCTCCCCGTCACTCATGCTCAGTGATTTGGGTCGGTGGTCCTCAAGGGGTCTCTGGTGGTCATCAGTGGTCGCACACCCGTGTCCGCTGGATAACCCTCTTCTTGCGGGCATGCGCAGTATCCTTGCTGTGGATGTACCTGTCCATAACAACTTACTTCATAAGATTAATATTCCCAGGCCTGTTGTCCTGTTGGGTAGGGACTGTACATGGAACATAGCAGCATTGTACATTGCCGTGGTCAGTTAGCTTCATTACCTGTTACCTTGGTTACAAACTAATTATTCCAAGCTAATCATTCTATAGTTTCTGTCTCATGGCCTCTATCCCATGATTATATTTTCCTCTTTTTGGAAGTTTTCCTTCTAGGCCTTGAGTAGCTTTCTGGTTAACATATGTTCTTCTTATATCTAAGCTTCTGTATTTTCTACAGCTGTGTTGCTATTGAGTGTTATTATTATGGAGCCACATTCTTAGATTAGAGCCTTGATTGTAGAAGCTAGAGCTAAAATACTGCCTTGCAGTATTCCCAGCTTCTCCGTAACTCTTCTCAGCTCTAATCTTTCTGTGAGTTTCAGTCTGGAATATGTGGCTGTTTTCTTTCCTTCTGTAAGTTTTTCACCAAAACTCTGAAGTGTTACTCTTCTCAAGGTTTACTGTATCCCATAAACAGCCATGAGATCACTTGACTCACAACTTTCCAATACCATTCACCTGCTTTGTGTTTCTGGCTGGAAGGATTGAAGGAACTGTCACTGCACCATCTCTAACATAGTCAATAACAAAAGCTGGCAGGAAAGGCATTTTACTGAGTCTAAAATTCACCAAAGCATGTTTGAGCTATTTGTACTATAGGTAACAGCTTATTAATTTAGTACTGGCAAAAGGAGCTCGTAGCTTTTCCAGCTGCTCCTTTTTTACCAGTGTTACTGCACACCAGATGAATTACTATTGCATGATTTAAAGTCAGTAAGATTAACTTTGCTTGAAATGTTCTCTAAACTACTGGCCAAAGAACCCGAACAAGAATGCTACTATTGGAAGAGTGCTTCAATCTGCTCAGCTAATCTAGGTAGAAATTTATGTGATACAGTTGTTTTTTACAGGCTAGATGATGCAAAATTGCACATTGCTATAGAGCCCTATGATATATATTTAAAGTGGCAGCTATCTGTCTGTCTTGCTGAGAGGTCTTCATTTCAGTCATGCTATTTGCTATGCAGAAGAGGCCCGAATTAGGGTAGCTTTCAAACCTATGGTCTTGTCATCACCGTGTGAAATTTAGCCATTTTCCAAACTTGCTGGTACATGATATCCCCATGACTGTGTATACAGTTCCATTATTGTAAGATATTTCTTCAATTCTTTAAGGGGATTTTTCCCCTAAATGCGTTGACAGATGTGGTCCATGGCTATTCACTATGCTTTCTAGGCTAATAACCATTAGAAATGTGATCGTTGACTTCATTAAATCTTACTATTTATTTTTAATATGTTCCAATATCAAGTTCAAATTGGCCAGTATGTCTAATAATTTCAAATAGCAAAGTTCTTGGAAAAGGAGCGTAACAGCAGTTGGCAGTGATCGCACAAGGTTGCCTAACTCCCAGGTCCTGTAAGGTTCAGCTTTTATTTTCAACACTGGTGCTTAGAGGCAATATATCTTATTTCTGGGAATTTTCTTTGTGATTTTTAATTGCTTGTTCTGTCTCTCTTTTGCTTCATAAAGCTTTTGCCATCTTATGTGCATTTATTTTGATAAGAGCTTACAGAAAAAGAAGGAAATAATGCGTCGGTAAAGGACAATATCAAGAAAATATCTAAACTTTCAAAAGCTGTTATTTGAACAAATTTTGACTTTAAGAAAATAGATTGTATATAATGATTGGAAATTTAGTATTCTGGTTCACTAGCTGGGATAAAAGTTATAAGAAGGGTATACATCTGGTTTTTAATCAAAATAATTCTAGGTGGTCTTTTATGTGGTACAGAATTAGCTACATTATATTTACATAGGACAGATTATAGTAAAACTTTCTACAAGATTTTTCACTCTTTCCAACAAAAGACTTCCTCTAGATTTAACTGTTTGGGATTGTATCACAACAGGTGAAAGTGGGTAAAACTGTTTAGGTCATTTTGGGAGCTGTTCTGGTTGGCACACGTCTGCCACATGTTCAATATTAGTAGGCTTGAATTTCCTAAAAATAGGTTATTAGTATATACATTTATATATTAGTAGATCTGAATTTGCTTTTTAAGATCTCTAGAGTTTCAAGCACATATCAGCATAAATAATTTTCTACAACTCCACAGCTTTGCTGAATGAACTAATCACTACAGCATAAAACACAAAAGGACGATTTGCCGTCTTATTCATTGTCGTTACTACTAAGAATCTTACTGTTCGTCACACACAGGACTAAACATGCTCCAAATATGTATTTGTAAAGAGATGGCCCAAGAGCTAGAGCCCTTTGAAATTTCTAACTACTCTGTGCCCCAAAGATTATATCATCTCTCTGTTAGGTCAACTTTTCCTTTAGACTGGCTTATGATTCCAGTTTTTATCACCCATTCAGTAGGTTTTTGAAATAATTCATTGCTTTCTTCCATGCATCTTTTCCTACTTGGGAGGGATCCTTTATAAACGTCCATGAAGCTCCCTTACTTTCATCACTCAGTTCCTTCTTAAAATTCTCAGTTGCTCTAAGGGCTTATAAAAAAATGCCAGTGCTTCGCTGCCAACATGCTGTGACTGGCAGGTATCAATCACATCAAGAAAGTATTCTTCAGTAGTTAGTGTCTGCCTTACCGTTCATTTGAACACATTTGTAGCTTCTTGCCTTATGTAAGCTCCTAGGAGGAAGCACCTTCTTGTAGTTCTATGGATGTACAGTAACTAGGAAAAGAGAGTGGTAAACTAGGGACCTAAACCTCGCCACACACACTCTCCTGTAAAAAAAGTAATGAGTAATAATAATTAAAAAGCTCAAGTTCTGTCTAACATGCATGCTGTTGTTTAAAACTATTGGAGTTACCATACAGTTTTAGTTGTGATGAATTTTATTTGGGATACAGGGAACAGAGAAAGTGAAGTTAACCAAAAGATCTTTTTTGAATGAAATTTTTTATTTTCATGATATGAAAAAAATATTAACAAAGATGGAAATCAGATTTTTGGAAATTCTGAATTTGCTTCTGGTACAAAGTAGTGTTGTCTTACTGAAGCTGGCACTTAATAAAGCACTTTTGAGCAAGGTTAAGGCCAGTAAGCAGCTAGTTCTTGGTTAGGATAGCATGCTTTTCTCTGTGGCTAAGTCCGAAAATACTGTGTATCTCTAAGGATGAATAAATTCAGTATGCAGATATGTTTCCTTGGAAACAACTCATAATTTTAAAGCACATGCAGCAATGCAGCCCTTATGTAATTTATTAATGCGAAAGACCTGGCTCTCATGAGCCTTTTTAAATAGATCGGCCTGGCAGAAGAAAGGAGTTTGCTTTGATTACAAATACAGCTTTTCAAGTGCTATTAGATACTGAGATATTTGTGAGTGGAGCTGTTATTACTGCTGTTGTGTCAAATTGTATTGCCCATTTGGGCAGTTCATACATTTTCTTGCTGAAGAATATGAATAGTCAAGACATTCTGCCGGTTCTAACAGCTTCTTTCTTTATTCCTGCTAGGATGCTACAATTTAGAAAAGACTATCTTACTCTTCCTTTTTAAGATGCTGCATTCCAGGGAACAGAAATCCTAATCTGAGATTAAACAAAGGAAAATTCTCCATTCAGTCCTTTCCAGGGCACTATTTCAGCTATGTCCTCATTTGTGTTGCAATAACATGAATGATCCTCACAGATCTATATTTTAGACTCATAAAAATATATAGTGTCTCTATTCCAAGGCAGTCTCTAGACTGGACTGAACAACACTTTAATGAAGCACGTCGTTCAGCAGAATTGTTTGTGGCAGGGAATTAGTAGGACTCAGAATGGCCTGGTCAGGTTCTAAGCAGGAGAAGGGAGTTCATCTTCTCAAGCTTTTCGATATCTGAGATATCAAGCTATGTAACTTACCTAAACTCATGCAGACTGAGAATTCGGTTTGGGTTTCTGGGCTGTCAGTGAAAGTGTCTGTCATACTGCCTCTGTATAAGGTCTCTAATAAGTAACTTTACCTGTCCCTCCCCTCAAGCAGAATACATTGCTCATCCTTCCATTAGTTGTTTACTTCTTTACTTACGAACCTGCTGAAATGGTCTCCTAGAGTCAGTGAAGTGCTTAATTTGGGTTTTTTAAGCATCATCTTTATTTTTTAAAAACAAACTGAAGTTAAGAGTGATAACAAATCATTTCCCATCATCTGCTGGCCTGAGTCTGAAAGCCTTTGTTCTCCCAAGCATACTCTACTGAAACTACCTACCTGGCTTGATGGCTACTGTTTTCAGTTCACTGATGTGCCTGAGATCATTGTGCAGTCGTGTCTTTGTTGTGACCTTTTTTCCGTAATGTAGACACCTCAGACTATGTCAAGGTAGATTTTACATTGCTTTTGTATTTGTTTAAACAGATTTGCCATGTTCCACAATGTCAGGATACCTAAAGAAAACATACTGAACGTAGCTGGAGATGTCACAGCTGAGGGGAAGTACTCAAGTTCAATCAAGGTATGAATCAAGGTTTTGTTTCATCAATACAGCTCATTAAATATACAAAGGTATAAGTAGGTTGAGAGACAGAGCATGGGCCTCTCATGTTGAGAAGTACTAAATACCTTGACTTAAATAAGGCTGTTCAGGATTTCACATTACATAGTCAAAATGCTGGTTTGTTAATTGCCTTGCAAAGATGTCTCAGCTCACCTTACTGATTTTACTGACTGCTTGCTCTTTGCACTACCCCACTGATCCCAAAGTAGTTTAGAGAAACTACTTTGAGTCTTGCCTGAATGCCTTATCTGAAAGGTATTATCTGTCAAGAAATAAAATTGGCCAACCCTCTGGGTTTCTGATCATGCTACCAGCATTGTACCTGTAGGGGGGATGTAAATGAAACATTAGCCTCACCATTCTGACACCAGTCTGTGTCTTTTATTCATTCAGGATGTTAAAGAGCGTTTTAGTGCAGCTCTGGGATCCTTGTCCACTGGCAGAATTCTGATCACAGCAGTTTCCACGACCAATTTAAAGCTTGCCTTATCGATAGCCATTCGCTTCTCAGCAGCTCGCCGTCAGTTTGGACCAACTGATGAAGAAGAAATACCTGTTCTTGAATACCAAACACAGGTAAATTCTTTGGAATTCACATCTACAGACTTTATATAATGAAACTTGGATTCAGAGCTACTGCAGATCAAAATAGTAACACTGAAGTTAGTTTCAACACTGAAATTAAGGTTGTCAGTGTCATCTGAAGTGTCATTCTACTGCAGCAGTGGGGGTTCATTCCAGCTGAAGACCTTCTCCTAGCATGATCAAGGTTTGGACACAATTTCTTGGAATAACAAAACCCATAATGTTCATGTTTCTCTGAAGTACCTAGAAACATTTGTCTTCTAAAATAGTAACCTTTTCAGAGAAAGACTGTTTTCTATGCACATGTGAAAGTACTGCAGATATAGAAACTATTTCTTTAAAAATGTCAGTGCCTCATTTGCTGCTATGCTAATTTTCTCCTTTTTAGCCTTTATTCTTTAAAAGTATAGAAATCAATGACATTATGGTGGTGAAGTCTCAAGCTAGCACTGATTTTAAGAGGAATATAACCAGTGTTTTTCTGCAGATTATACAGATCAAAAACACCTTTTGCTCTGAAAAAATAGGACAAATGTATGTACAGTAACTGGGAAACAGAGAGAACTCAAATCTGCTGAATGAGAAAGGTTAATATATGAGAAGTGCTGAAAACAAACCAGCCCAGTTTGTCCTTGCAAAGTGGGTTCTTTTTTCCAGATTTGCACTTAGTCTTACAGTTTTGAAAGATTTCCTGGGTTTCTACAAAAACGAAAGTTACCTTCTTTCCACCTCTTCTAAATAAGCCACGATCTGCTTCCCACTATTCTTGGAGTCTCAATTTTGCCTAGTTGTTGTTTGTTCTGTAGGCTCTACTTGCTGAACCTCTTATTCCCTTCTTGCTCTCCCACAAAAGCATCTTCAAGTGGTTTCTCTTTTCCTTCATGGGCTCCATCTGAGTTGCATGGAACAGCAAAGATGGTTTTTTCTCTGCTTCCCAGCCCTTTTTTTTTTTTTTTTCTCACAGAATGCAACCACCACTAACGTACATTCAGCAATGAACAAGCAAGTGAAACAGTTACACCCTCTGTCATGTTGGTACTGAAGAAACACACGAATCATGAGTGGCCCTGGCATGCCAGGCATTGTATAAACACAGGGCAAAAAATGTCGTTGGTCCCCAAAGCTTCAGTGAACTTTTGCACTGGTTTACCGGAATGTTTATCACAAATTCATAAAATGCATGAACTAGAATAATGTGACTGTAAATTGTGTATAGAGTAGTTACACTTAATTATGTTTATAGATGGTTAAGTTCGCTTCTCCATAAAAGTTGTCCAGTTTGAACAAAGTAAAAAACAAATGGCTTGGTTCAATATTATAAGATAGTGATATATAACTATAAAAATATATATCAATTTGCAATCAAATCTATTCAATTTTTATTCTAGCAATGGCGTCTTCTTCCTTATCTGGCTGCCGCATATGCCTTAGATTATTTCTCCAAATCCCTGTTTGAGAACTTTGTAGAATTTTATGCAGGCTTATTGACAAAGCAAAGGAGTCAGAGACAGGTGAGATATTTACACATTTCTTCGTAGCTGAGTTATTGTAAACTGGGTTTACTGTTAAATGAAGGGTCTACTTAGAAGTCTTTGGCCATCTTACAATAAAGAAAGAATGCTAGAACAATGTCTCAGAAATATGGGAGATACGAAGTAATGATTAAAGTTGCATCCACATTAGTTTTGGTGGAGTGGTTAAAGTTTTATTGGTTTCTGTGGGATTTAAGGTTATGTTCCCTTGAAGAATTGTTTATCATAAATACATGATGATAATGCAAATTCAGATTATAACTGTGTAAATGACACTGCAGGGGGCATATATCAAAGACTTTCTGAAATGATACTATTCTTAATTCCCACACAGATGCTGTGAGTCTGGCTTGAGTTTGCAATTCATATTCATGCATTAGGATAAATATTTTGTGTCATTTGAATATTTTGAGACTTGAAAGTCTTAATGCTGAATTTCTCATCCACAATTAGACCATTGGAAGCCACCCCTTTACAAAGGAAATAGTTTGATCTATCTGTCTCTGTGCAAGGAGTGATTCTAAACCAAAATAACTGCAATTTTTTTTATAGCATATAATTTTTTTTTAAAAAAAAGTTTTTTACAAGATTAATTGTTAGGGCCTACACACTGGCTATGTATTGCTCAGCTTTCACTTAAACACTCAGGCATTTTTCAGCTAAAATAAAGCTCGTAAAATATATGTTTACTAATGGCTGGGTGTTCTAATTTCTCCTCTTTGCACAAACCACAGAAGAATCTGTTTGATTTTTTAATCTGATGTTTTATCTCTGGAGGTCTCCAGTGCAGTCACTAATCTTAGGCAAAACAGTGGCTATCAGAAAAAAAAATCATGATTGAGAAAAATCTGATTTTTGACAGTGTTAAGAATGTAATCCTTATGAATTCCTTTTGTTCTACCGGAGATCTTAAAAAGAAAAACCCAAGAAAAAAAAAACAAACAAAAAACCCAACCAGGGAGTTGCTGTTAAACAAGCTTTGGTAGAATCAAGCCACTGTCTCCAGAAACTGGAATTCCAAACACATTTTCAAAGGAAGGCCACCAGATTTATTGCAAATGCAGGCTACTGTGATTCTCTGGAAATTGAGGGGGTACATTTAAGTTCTCCGACTCTTTGCAAAATCGATGCTTGGAAGATCATTGAAAACCATGTAAGATGGTAAATATTATAAATATCCCCTTGCTGACTGGGGAGAAAGGGATTGCTTATGTCACAGAGGGGACAGAAGCTTTGGGCATGCCACCTTCAACCACCTGCCTCTCCATCTCTGGGAGGAAAAGATTGGCAAGCAGTGAACTGTCCCATGCCATGCCATGTCAGCTGGCACATCTGAGCTGAGATGTACCCATGTGTCCATTACCTGGCACAAATTATAAGAAAGTTAGTGCCACTGGTTTTTCAGTTGTGGCAGGGGTTTTTTTGTGGCAGCAAAAAAAATGCTCTACCTTTACAGAGATCTCAGAAAATTTTAGGTATGTATCGCAAGTTACTCTTTTCTTTATTATAAAGCAGTACACATAGCTATGGCTTTAACCAGTCACAAACTTTGTGTAAAAGTTATTACTCACTTGCAACTGTTTTTCACAAAGGCTGATTTGGGACGTGAGATTCATGCCTTATCTGCTGCCAGCAAACCACTCTCCTCGTGGACTGCTCAGCAAGCAGCTCAGGAGTGCCGAGAAGCTTGTGGAGGACATGGTTACCTTGCCAGTAAGTTACAGACTGCTACATACACTGATGAGAAAGAGAATGGTTATGTTGATGTGTTCTTTGACTGTTGTTGCATCATGATGTCTGAATTTTAGCAATATTTTTAGAAAGGGTTTTTCCTCATATCCATATTTTTAAAGTTCATTTTATACCACAAAAAGCACTAAACCCATGCAGCATCTGCACCAGCAGTTGGACAAAATAAGACTGTAAATGTGATTCAATCATCTCAGTTCGAAAAATAAAGATGCAGACTTTATAGATTAAAATTCCCCTTGTAAGCTGAATGCCACACTTTTCTAAAGTCTTTCCAGTATATTCATTTTCACAAGCTAAACAGTGAACTTTCAAGCTCATCTGTTGGTGACAATAGCTATACTTACAGGAAGAGATATCTCTCTTACATTTTGTCACAGAACAATTATTTAATTCCTCTTAGCTTCCCTTAATACATTGCAATATATTAAATTGTGTACTTGTTCTTATTAAGTGAATCGTCTGGGTGAAATCCGAAATGACAATGATCCAAACTGCACATATGAGGGAGATAACAATGTCCTGCTTCAGCAAACCAGCAACTACTTAATGAGCTGGATGAATTGCATAAGAGGTAAGTTTTCATTGTGGAATCCTATGCTGTACCCAACAGTGTGTAGCTAATGGAATTAGGAGGTAATTTCATACTGAAAGCAATTGACAGTCATTTAATCCTTTTGTAGAGCATAAATAATGTGCTTCAGACTCCATCATATGATACATTCACAATACACAGATATTTGCTGCAAGAAATATTCTTTCTTCTAAGTCTGGCAGAACCTAGCTAGATGTTTTGCCATTCCTACTCAGGTTAAGTAGTATCTTACTCCCTGGGAAGTGCAGTTTAGTTCAGTGGAATTACTCCTACAGTCATTGTAAGTCTGGGTACCCTCTGCTCATTGTATTTAAAACAGCTCATATTGCCTAACTTGGTAGCAATATCCATCAGTACGTTTTGTAGTTCTCTAGATAAATGATTTTGTTTCAGTTTTCTAACAGTGAGTTTCATCAGCATCTTACAGAACTGGAAAACTCCACCATAGGAGTTGAATCTTAGGGGGCTTACAGGCAGTGATGTCAGGTTTTTCAGCACTTGTCCACCGGTCCTCATTTGGCTGGACCAGGCCATAGTAAAATAAATGTTATGGCCTAATTGCATTTGGCCTAGCAAGTGTATGCATGGCTTTGCAATAGGCTTTTAGTTCCAAAGAGTCTGATTTCTTTTCTCATAAATAATTTTTATTTTCTTTGGTATTTCAGATAAATCTCCTTTTGAATCCCCTTTTGGAACAATAAACTTTTTGCAAGACTACCATCATATCCTTGGCTGGAAATTCACAGCCATTAGTGTTGAAGCTTGCATGGACTCCTCAGGTAGTTTTCTGCTGTTGTTAAACTGATTCTAGAATCTTAAATTCCTTTCCAGAGATTTGAGATGCAACCTCTGCTACTTATTAGATATTTCTTGACTTTCTTTGTATTATATGCATTTCAATTTACTAAGAACATAGTTTGCATTTCAAAATAGGTCCTATTGTCCCCAGCCTCAATTCTGGAACGGAGGATAGCATCAGATATTTTTCTTCCATTTTTGTTCCTCTGAAATAGCATTTGTGATCTAGTTTTTTTGCCACTGTATTGTTGTTTCAAGTGAAATTGTTGCAAGGGGCATTAATTGCCACTACCTTATATCACTAAAATTTCTTACTATAGAAAACCATAGAAGTGATTTAGAAATAAATTGAAAAAGCTCTAAGTGTGTCTGCTTTTGACAGTTGCTTTTGGTTGCACAGAGGAAAATGAGTAATGGTGAAAGCAAATTCCCTGAGGTTTTCCTGGTTTACTCTGCTATAATCAAATCAAGTATGACATTAGATCCCATTCCCACTTTTGTATCACTGTGAGCCCAGATTGGCCCTTGGAGGCAAAAATTAACAAAGAAATGAACAGATAATCAGATAGTGACAGGGCATGGAGCAAAAGTGAGTCTGTGAAACTGAGAACATACTGAGTTGAGAAACTCCAGTCTTAATATATAAGGGGCAATTGAGTTGATTCCTAGAATTCAGTAACCATTTCAGTGCTCAAATAATTGCAAAAGAGCTGAACTTTGGATGGTGATGCATAGTACCTAGTGAGATAGTATCATAATAGCTATGGGGTAAAATCTGAGTAACTTCAAAATAGAAAGACTTATAAGAAAGACTAGTTCAAAACAACTGCTTGCTTGCTTCTCTGTTGGATGTCTCCAGCCTGTGAAATCCAGCAGAGCATGAACTGATACCTAAGCACATGTTCTCTTCTCTCTTGCAAATGCCTACTGAACCAAGCTATAGTTTTAGAAATATCTGAATCTGTTTATTGTTTCATTCTGTTAGAAACTAGACTGTTAATTTAGATGCCTAAATTCAGGCAGCATATGAACACTCACAATTGCCTGAATAATATTGTACATTAAATCTTAAGCTAAGGCACAAGCAAGCAGGATTCATAGAAGGACTTTATGCTGAAGTACTTTTTCCTTAATAGTTCCAGGCTGCTCTAAAAATATAACAAACTTATGTACAAAGCAGGTCATTCAAATGCAATTACATTCAGCCACCTTTGCAGTGTTAGAAGTCATGGGCTGTCTTCTGTTCTTGTATTCTCAGAAGAGATAGAGTACTTTTTGCAAACCTAAGTCTTAATATGGGAAGAAAATAACAAAACATAAGATTTGGTTGAGTCAGAAGTCTAAATTGAGCTGTGGATGTACCTTGCCTTTTAGCTTGGGGTCAATTTGAATTACGGTATGATCAGGCATGGTATGTCTTCACTGTACAGTTACAGTCTATCTTATCCAGATGTTATTTATTGCATCTACAGTAATGGGCAAAATGTCATGTTAATGGATCGATTAGTTAACACTTTCACTTTTCATCTCAGGTAACAAAAACTGAGACTGCAGTAGAATCTGCATGTGACTTCTTCCATTGTAAATGTGAATGTTAAGTATTTTGTTTTTCTCTTTTTCACAGTTCCTTTAGCAGCATATAAATGGCTGATTTGCTACCTGCTCCAAGAAAGTGACCTAAAGCTGATCAAGGAGAAGCAGTCTGGGCGAAGTGATTTTGAGGCAAAAAACAACTGTCAGGTAATACTTATTTAGCTTTCTTATTTTATTTACTTATTTTCACCCAAGTGTGTCAGATCCCGTTAGTTTTATCTTCTTGTGTCATGAAGTTCCTCAAGCATAAAGCAGCAAGTCAAATAGCTAATAAAATGTAACACCTGACCATGTGCACTGTATTGAACATGATAGCAGGAGGACAGTTACCATCAGCAGAAGTCTTCTAGGATATATTTCCCTTCAGAAAGGTTGCAGGCATGTGCTGGGTGATGTCTGTAATTCTGATAGCACAACTTCTGAAGACTAAATCTACTACTATTAAATCTACTGCAGCATCTGATTATTACATCTCCATCTGCTCTTGTGGCCAAATACATACTGTAGGAAAGAATCTTGTTCTGGCAGGTAGGTAAACTAGATGACCTAACAGGTCTTTTCCATCTCTAATTTCTATAGTGCAAAGTACTCATGAAAGATACCAGACTGACAACATTGGAACCTGAAAAGGAAACACTGACAATCTACATATAGCAGATCCACTCTCTCACCAGAGAGTTTTAACAGCTAGGAATGGCTCAACTCCAAATTTCAGTGTATATCCCCAAGGTCCCCAAATTCTTCCGTTACCTCCTTTAGAAAAACTGGCTCGCATCCAAGGAAAAACACTTGTCATTTGTCACTGAGGAAAGAGATCTGTTCTCTGAAGATGGCCAGTGTCATTCACCTGATCTGCAAAGCTCATTAAAAAACATCAGGAAGGAACATTCAACTCTACACCTAGAAAGAGCCAGCCTAGCTTCAACGAGGGATGGTCTGTGTGAAACCACTGGTAGAGTGGAGGAAGTCTTGGTTTTACCCTAGAAGCAGCTTATTAGAGAAACTCTTCAGGGTCAAATTCTGAATGGCAATTGCCAGATATTCAAGTCTGTCTGTCAGCTGGCCAGCTCTTGGGAGGCTGGTGCTCGGGCCACTGTGTTAGAGGGAATGGTTTGCTCAGAAGTATGAAGGTTCTCTTCTTTTTTGTGTTCAAATGTGCTAAAATTTGAAGATACTTAGGCACACAGCTGCTTTTGAGATAGGATTTTTTCTTTTAAATGGCATGCCTCAAAAAACATCTGAAAATTATTTACAGTCTGTGCTTTAAAGACATGTATATATTTGATTTAAAACTTTCTGGGCATGAAGGAGCACTTTTCTGTCATCCCCGTGGCTGACTAATATATAATATTTGTTCTTGCTATAGGAGATCTGGAAGAGATTCCTAGCCTATCCCTCAGTTATTTTGGTTTGGGGATAGCTTGATAGAAACAATACAGAAGTGCAAGCAAAGGTAAAGAAGGAAATAGAATTATGGGGGAGAAGAATAGGCAATTAATTCTTAATGCTTCATTTGCAATGTTAAGACATTTCATTCTGGCTAGGGAATTGACATTCATATCTAAAAACGTCCATCTAGTAAATGGACTAGTAATGGAGTAAACGTCCATCTAGTCCATCCTTAAACCTGCAGAGAGTAGATGTGTATTTTGCAGTTCATAGTTGCATCTGAGCTTGGTCATAAGTATGCCACTGAACAGCTATCAGAGACAGTAATTTTTGGAATATGCCTTTTTAAAGGCATCTTTAAATGGATTAGTTTTAAATGTTTAAGTGGATTTAAACACAAGGATGATGCAAGTATTTAAAAGAAAAAAGGAAAACCTATTAACTAATTCTAAATTAAAAAAAAACCCTGAACAAATGAGCTAAAAACTAACACCAGTTTACAGCATTGCAACAAATCATCCACAACAGCAATGGGTAGATGTTCCCCCTTCTGTTCACCAACTAGAATGTTTTCAGTCAACAGTCTATTTCATGGTAGGACTTATGCCATGATACAGCAAAGGTGAAGTATTTAAAAGTAGACAAGTGTTCCTATGTGAGTACAATCACTTAGGGTTTTATACTGTGTATTAACACTAACTGGTGACTTGCCTTTCTGATCAGATATTTGGTGAGGATTAGATGGATAATTCTTTCAAAACATATTGCAATCCATAAACAGAATCCACTCACGCTAACATTATCAGATTTTTTATTTATTATTTGAAAGGACTGTAATAAGTTTTCAGTAGGTTACTGAACCACTTTGAAGATTTTATCGTCTTTATAAAACTCCACATAATATTAAATAAATGTAAACCTTCCTTTATCTTCTTAGAGTTATATGGGTTTATTAATGATCCTAAGGTCAGCAAACCTGATTTTCCATGGTCTTCTCTCTGATGTAGCTACTTGATCCCATACAGTCTGGGTGAAGCTGCCAAATGACACTGGTAATAGGCATACAATCTGCGCTACCTTTGGATTGGTATAAGAGAGTACCTAAAGTGGAACACAGTGGAAAATTAGGATCTTAGTTCTGAGACACATTTCATGAGGCATTTCGTGACTAACCTTTGCAAAGACTGTGCAGAAAGAGTTTTGCCCTAGAGTTTCTTCTTAGACTTTCTTTAATGTCAAGCTAGATCAGCAGATCTAAATCAACAAACTTCACCAGAGCAATGCCATTTTGCACCAGGTGAGGATTTGCTCCTTGTGTTTTGTTACTCAGTGTCCTTCTTTTCTGTTTCCTAAGGTGTACTACTGTCGATCATTAGCCATTGCTTTTATTGAACAAACAGTCTTACAAAGATATCATGACTACACTCATGATCCCAACATACCATCTACTCTGCAACCAGTGCTTAAGAATCTCAGTGCTCTGTATGGACTCTGGTCTTTAAGTAAACATCTGGCTGTGCTCTACCAAGGTGAGATCAGCTCCCTGAATATATTGTGCATATTACTCTATAAAAGTCCTAACTTGGCAGGGGGAGGGAATCCTAATTAGGACTTAGATTAGAGCATTTTCTTATTGCCTGTGTAATATAAAACAGTGATTCTGGACAAAATTTTCAGGGGCAGGAATCTGGAGCAACATATTAACCCAAAAGACACTCTCTCAGCTCAGAGATGATGTAGGGCTCACAAGTTTTGCCGTGGTCCACTGCTTGGGGGAGAGGATGGGGGACAGGCAGCAAGATGCCGTAGTGTAGCTTGCTAATGCTAAAAGCTCCAGATGTCTTAGAATAATGGTTTTGCAGTCAACTCATTAATGAAAGACAGTCAATCCAATTACTCAGGAGCATCTATTTAGTCTCTTGAACACTGAACTGATAAATTCTTTTCTAAAAGGATTGTATCTTAACTGGTAATAAGCTTCTTTGTGAATGTGTTCGCAGGTGGCTATGCTTCAGGTGAACAAGCTGGTAGATTTATTCAGAATGCTATTCTGGAGCTCTGCTACAGGGTAAGCCTTCAATATTGTTTGTTGTGATTAGATAATAATATAGTATACAAATACTAAAAAAGAGATGTAGCAGTTATTCTGTAGTTCAAGGGGTAGCTTAGTAGCATATTACATTAATAGTTTCTGAATAACTTTCTGTAAAGTTTAGTAACTCATTGACCATGAATCTAGTCCTAATTTACCAAAAAATTAAAACCAATATATCTTACAGAGTAGCACTCTATCATTTATGGCCTTGCAATCTTCATTAGAAAGCCAGTGAAACACCTGCAGTCCAGTTCTCTTTATTTCATTATTATGTTAGCTCATGATTTTTTTTTCTCAACAAAAAAGCTTTTCAAACTGAATTATATTCTTCACAGGTAAGGAACATTTCAAAGAAGAACGTGGACATTATGTTTTTAAAGTTCAAAAGTATGTGTTTTTATGTGTGTAAACAGTATCATCTTGGTTAAAATGTGTTTTAAAACCCATTAGCAAAGGAAGAAAACATTTAAAATACATTCTCTTTTGGCGATTAACCTGGGAGGAAAAAAAGGATAATGAATCTAGACTCCTTATTTTGGATTTCTCTTAAGTTACCAATAGCTAGTACTTCATGAAAATGATCTTTATGCTGCTCTGTAGTTTACAGGTAGCCATAGACAACAACAGAAGTTGCCAAATGTATGTCTTTTGTTTGTAAACAGTTGAAAGATGATGCAGTTGCCCTGGTTGATGTCTTTGCTCCTCCGGACTTCATTCTCAACTCTCCCATTGGTAAAGCTAGTGGAGAGGTAAGAAAACCCATTTTAAAATTTCTAAGTTTAGTCATTAGGAAGGGTATTGCCTGTAAATAGCCATAACATATTCAAGACACTTCATCAGCACAGATACCCATGAACAAAAAAAAATAATTATAACATCTCCTAACATTCCTTAAACAGTAACATGTCTTTAGTATATAGCTTACTACCTTGATGATGTAGTAAGGTGTATTTCTTCTCTGCCTAGGACTTTTGCTGCCTTTATTGGTATTCACATTACACCCAGTTTGTGTGATATGCATATAAATGGTGTAGAAATTATTTATTTCTTTTAATTCTTCATAATTTTTTTATTTTAATCAGAGAAAGGAAAATTTAAAACTTGTTCCAGCTAAAAATTATAGCAGAAATTGCAGAATTCTTTGAGAATTCTGTTTATCCAAAAGGAATTCTAGGATATGATGGAGTATCTTGTAGTCACCAGTGCAAGGTACAGCATTACCCAGTGGATCTCAGTAATCTTAATACAGACTCGAAGGATGCTGTTTTGTTAACACCTCTCCTTGCTTTAATGAATATATAATCATTCTTGTTTAGGCTGAGAGAGATTTTTTTTATTAGTCTAGGTTACATAAAGCAAGAGTTGAATCAACAGCATAAGAACGGCCATATGGGATCCAGTTCACAGAATACTCTGTAACTGACAGTGGCCAAGGAGAACACTGTATGAAACAGATGAAAGGTGTTGTTTCCCTGGTATCCCTACTGTTGGCAATTGGTTTAAAAGATATCTCATGCCATAGGTTGTATTTGTATTATTCTGTTTAATAGCCACAGATACATCTATCCAACATTCATTTTTCCCATCCATTTTCAAATTCAGCTGTCTTTTGGCTTCCATGACACCATGATTTCCATAATTTAATTATAAGTATTGTGAAAAAATAGTTCCTAGTCCCAGTCCATATACATTTACTATCTGGGGTGGCTTTTTCATTCCTCTGACAGGCCTTGTTTTCCTTCTCTGTATCTTTCCTGGTTCTGCCATCTTCTTCCTGAGGTGCCATAACCAGACCTCCAAGCAGGATTCAGAATGTGGGTGCACCATGGATTTGACTATACTAGGTCATGGTCCCTCACTGCTTTTTTCTCCTTGACGTATTTAAAGAGCTGTATTTCATTCCAGAGTTTCGGCAAACCAAAATTCTTGCTTACTGGCCAACCCTACTCAGCAGGGCCAAGCTGTGGGATAACTGTTGTGTAGAAACTAGCGTCACAGTACAGTAGGTTGGTTTGGTGTGGATAGACCCTGTGGAGAATCACTAGAGCCTGGGGAGACGGCCAGGAAGTTTTACAGGATTGCTGAGTCAAGGGTACTCAATGCTTTTCAATATTCTGTGTCTGTGTCTTCATGTCTGAAGTTGTCCATCGTTCCCATGGTGATCAAGCAATACAGAAGGCAGCCCAGATGTTTCTAACCAGACGCTGACCTCACAAGAGTGCTTACTTTGGTAACACAGTCTCTACAAATAAAGGAGGAAAGGCTAGCTCTACATATCCAGCCATCTCCACAAGAGGACTATAATCATCACTGGAAACTTTGTTTCCGTTTCTGTAGATTTTTGAGGATTAAATTAATGAAAGAGATCATGGGAGGGAAGCTCCAAAGGTAACTCTAAGAGGAGGAACATCATCTGTAAGAATGTTAAGAATATCTCTGTTAGCCAAAAGCCCATTTTCACCCATTATTCAGTCTCTAACAGAAGCTGTGAACAGAAGCTATAGGCAGGAATATAAAATATGGTGCAAGTACATAGTGATCAGCTCCTAGAATACTACCCCTTTTCTAGCAGTCAGCTGGAGATTTCTTATCAGCAGCTGATAAAGCTGTCATGTGATGGATTTGGCTCAGTCCTCCTTGGCTAGCTCTTAGCTCACACATATACAGAAGCCACAGAGGCTTATTAATATTAGAGATTAATATTAGGAATATTATATGTGAGACATGCAGATAGGACTCTAAACACTATCGACTTCCTTGTGTACTCAATATTTGGTAAGTTTTTTGTAAATTCATTGAGTCATATTGAGAAAATAATTTCAAGCAGTGATGTTCTTCAGAATTCAGGAAGGTTTTCTGAACTGCCTCTAAGTCTGTTGTTTTCAACTTGTGTAAATATTTTCAACTGAAATTTGAAAAAGGCTGCCAGTCCCTCACTCAAAGAAAATACTTAATAAAGCTCCTTGTCTCCTGGCTGTCTGTATTTAATTCTCTATTCATTGCTATCTTTGCAACTTCTAAAAAGCAATGCAAACATTTTAGTAAAAATTGCAGTGTGGTAAAGAACAGATTATCCAAGCATAACAGGAAAATTACTTTAACTCAGGATAACCTATGCTGTACCACAGTGGAGTGCCTTGCACCATGAGACACAGATCATAATTGGAGCAGAAAAAAAGTTTCCAAATTTGTTGTGGGCAGCTTTAAGCACTAAGTAAGAATTCAGATTCTCTTCAAAAGAAACTTTGATGCTGTGGATATCATTTCCCCACTGAAGCTTTAACAATCTCAGCTTAAGTATGTGAAGTTATTGGCAAATATATATTTCAAGATTAATTAAAAGTTCTTAGACAATATTAAATCAAACGTGGAATGGAATAAATAGTTAATGCTAGCCCACATAATCAAGTTAAAATATATTTAATATTAGGTATATTATATTTCAGTATTTCTTTAAATCATCACAAATATATAGGGCCAAGCCATCTTTTGATGTAGAAGAAAGGCTTTTCATTTTACGTCACTGGCTGCTTTTATACTACGTTAATATTGTATTATCCTGCACCCCAACTTACTGCTGAAAATATGATCTTCCTTTCCTCATCTTTCTATAATGCTATTTAAAGTTCTAAGCTTCAGTTAATTATGAACTGCCAAATATTGCTAAAATTATACTTTTGCTGAATTTACTTCCCATGTACTTTTTTTTAACTGTTCCACATAAAATTGCAAATTAACGAAGATGATGAATTAACAATCTGCTTATAAGAGAGGAATTTCTTATTCTCAGATCGAACAGTTCACATCTGGGCGAGAAGTTATGTTACTTTCCAGAAATGTGTTGAAATAAAGGTAAAACCAGACATGCACAAGTGCTTTCAGACAGTCTTCAGGTTTGGACAGAACAAAGATTAGTTTAATATAACTCTGTTTCCAAATTTCTGCCTTTGATAATACAACGATGTCAGGTTGAAAACAAGAAATTCAAAAGGTTACTGATTTCCTGCTCTTATGCCAAGGACAGTCTCAGTGATGTACACAGATATCTGATATTTGCAGTACTTTTTGAAAATTTGTGCTTTATCTTCATGTTTATTTTTGCCTATATGTAATTATTCACATTTGTTATCTAGAAATTCAATCACAATCTCATTTCAACCAATAAGTTCGATAATTTATCTTGCAGAAGTTTGTTTTATTTTCTGTATGAATTAATCCTTTTTTATCGTTATTTTGCAGATATATAAAAATATGTGGGCAGAGATCCTTCAAGGCAGCAAAGCTCTGAACAGACCTTCATGGTGGGCAGAATTTTGTATTAATAAACCTGTTACAGGCAGGCTGAGGTCAAGATTGTAAACCAAACAACTTGTAAGCGGCTGGATGGGCCTGAGATGGATACTGTATTTCAAACATCAGGAGGAAATGAGACCATATGTCAAACACTGAAAATGAAAGAGATTTTCATAGAGAAGTGCCAAGTTTTAAAATAACTTTGAAATCAAGTCCAACTTGGTCTCAGGGACTGTTAACATAATAATGACAGAAGCAAGAGCAACACGTCTGTGCACTATTTGTATTTACTTAATTAAATACAAAAAAAATGAAGATTCATTATGATCACTGCTTTGCCAAGGTTCTATAAAAGTTCCAATCAGTCTCTTGACTTTCCTGTCATATTACAGAAGTTAAATAATTAAAAAACACTCCCCACCAGGGACTATGAATAAGCTGAACAAAAGCAAAATAAAAGAATTTGAAGAAAAAGAAAAAAAGACATCAAGAACACCAACAGTGATAAACCTGTATTAAGGGATGGGAATCATTTCCGACAGCCCCTTTGAAGCCCGTGAAGCTATTCTGATTTACTTCATATGCCTCTGTGTTAAACTACTTGATTGCTCTTTCAATGCTGGCGAGGATTGGGATTTTAGATAATCTGTTTTATGAATTGTGTATAACTCTGAAGATAAAATTAATTGAAAATGACTCATTTATACATCTTTTAAAAGAAAGTATGGTAATGCAAACTTGTAAGTCTTAGATACATTCTTGGCAGTATCAAGCCTGGAATACATTGTCACACGTAGAAACAGCATCTGTGTTTCAGGTCATAATATACTCGAACTATTATAAATATGATCTTATAAGAACGTACAACAGTGGTAGGCATTATTGAATGCATTAGGATTTTTCTCTTTCAGCTATGTTAACTATCACATGTTTTTATTCACAAATGGCAGACACACGAACAAAGTTTTGAAAATTTAGAATATTTTATGGTTTAGATATGCTTTTAGAATTTTTGTTTTAGAAAAACAAATTCATTTTTTCCTTTATTGTATCTATGAACTGAAGTACTGTTAAAACCTAATTCGTTTTGCCCTTACTGTTGTGAGCAGTCTAGTCAAGCCAAAGAGATTATTTTGTAAGTTAAAAAATTCAGTATTATTTATGATTAACCAGGGATGAATTATGGTTTGGGCTATTAAATAAATGCAAGTTCAAGACTTGAGTGTTGAATTCTACTTTAGCAGAATCAGACCCTTGTCCTTGTGGGGTTTTATAATTTCATCTATTGTTGCAGTGTCAATATATGAAAGTTTGTAAGTCCTTACAGACTGTCACAATGTGACCAAGTAGTTCTGCGGAGGCTTCTTTGGTTCCATCTAAACCTGACAGAGCTCAGGAAATGTTTTGTGGCTGGACAATGCATTGTAAGGTGAGCATTAAAAAGATTTCTCAGAGTACCTCAAAGTACATTTATTTACTAAACAGATTTTTTAAAAAGATTTATTTGTATTTTTAGGACCAGTTTATCAGAGACTCTGGGGACTCCAAGTGCCTCATAACGCAAGTGCAGTTTAGAAAATAGAAATACAGTAGAAATATATCCCTAAGCTGTTCCTGTTAATCTTATTTATTATGACTATTTAGTCAACATCCAAACTCCCTGAAAAAAGCTGAGCCCCTCCGTGCTGATAAGGACTGTACAAACTGGCAGGAAAGTGTGCTCTCTGTTCTGAAAAGCTTCTAACTTCGACTAGAGCAAGCACTGCAGAGAGTGCATCAGCCAGGACATGACGATGGGCAGGCAAAATGGGATACTCAGTAAAATGTCACGATAATGGACAGTCACACGGCTTGCAATAAACGTAGAGCTTCACAGGATCCTTGGATCCCCACGCAGTTAATGGCAGAAGTTAAAGACCTGAGCACCAAAGCTGAAAGAAGTAAAGTCAAAGCAAGGGTGCCATGAGGCCGTGGGAATTCACTCGTTACGACACCACACATTGCTGTACCCCCAGCCGTGGGGGGGTGGCTGCTCACCAGGACTGTTTGAAAGCTCAGTGCAGCTGTTCAGCAGCTGTTGGGCTTTACATGCTGCCAGCAAAGGCTATCTCCATTTATTCTCAAACCCAGTACAAAGCCAGACCTGGGTAATCAAATGACCAAAATATCCTTTTCCTCTGAAGTCGACAATAAGCCAAAGGTTCTAGAGGTCCTCTATATCCAGCAGAAATTGTAAGTGTGAACTTGCAGAACTGCAGCATGGAGGGAGAAAGATGTCATGAAATTTGGCATCCAATTATCTACTAAATCATAGGGCAATAATTCAACAACTGCCACAAGATGTCATCATTATATGCAGTTTGTTCCTCTTTACGGGACATTAAAAGGCCTCTGGCAGAACAGAAGAGTCATTCCTCTCACAGTTCAAATGCCAAATACAGTTGGATGTGTCATTTTAACTTGGTTGGGGAGCTGGGTCAGAGGCTGTCAGATAGCTTCAGTGCAAAACAATTAGGCCATGGGAATCTGTCCTTGCAAGCTGCCACATGAAGGCAGCTAAATCTGCCACCAGAAAGGTGAATCCAAGTTAGCCTGAGAGAGCCCCAACCTACTGCTTCCTCTGTGCCCATGACACTTATCATTATCCACTCGTCTCCTGGATAGTGGCATCTTCCTTCTTTCTGACCTTGTCAAACCGCCTACCTGCCCCTCTACTCCGCTCTTGTGAGACCCCACCTGGAGTATTGCGTCCAGCTCTGGGGGCCCCAGTACAGGAGAGACATTGAGCTGTGGGAGCGAGTCCAGAGGAGGGCCACGAAGCTGATCAGAGGGCTGGAGCACCTCTCCTGTGAGGACAGGCTGAGAGAGTTGGGGTTGTTCAGCCTGGAGAAAAGAAGGCTCCAGGGAGATCTAATTGCAGCTTACCAGTTTCTGAAGGGGCCTACAGGAAAGATGGGGAGGGACTGTTTATCAGGGAGTGGAGTGACAGGACAAGGGGTAATGGGTCTAAGCTAAAGAAGGGTAGATTTAGATTAGATGTTAGAAAGAAATTCTTCCCTGTGAGGGTGGTGAGGCACCGGAACAGGTTGCCCAGAGAAGCTGTGGAGGCCCCATCCCTGGAAGTGTTCATGGCCAGGTTGGCTGGGGCGTTGGGCAACCTGGTCTAGTGGAGGGGGGAGCAGGGGGATTGGAGCTACATGATCTTTGAGGTCCCTTCCAACCCAAACCATTCTATGGTTCTATGAGTTTATGACCTCTTTTCTATCAGAAAAAAACCCAAATTGTTCATGTGCATTAGGACACTGAATGCACACACTTCCCTTGCTGATGTGGCAAGATAACTACATGATTATTTCACGTCACCTTTTGTAGGAGCAATGGTGTCAGGAAAAAGGCTTAGGGAGCCATATGGAAGCCCTGCCATCCTTTCAGCTGCAGTTCTGCGGATACAGGTTTCCCAGAGTTGCTTGTTTTCTGCAGAGATAAGTAGACTCACACACTGCCATTTCTGTCGGAAAGCCTCTTTCCCACCGTAATAGATGATTCATCATGCGTTCTGCAGGGTAGCAAGTTTCTTTTCTGCTTGCCTTTATTCATGTATTTTCTTTACTGAGTTAATGTATTTTCAAACTTGAGTGGTGACTTAATACAAGTACATGCTATCAGCATGACTGGTCTCGCTCTCAGATGCATCACGGAGCCCTGTGTGTCCTCTGGTAGCACTGTACCTCCACGAGCCTTAGCAATGTTTTGTTGTTCCCAGTTCTCATTAAGCCTGAGATCAGAGTAAGGTTCCAGATCATTTGAGCTCGGTTCACTGGCCTAAGGAGCACCACAAGCAAAGGGGAGCTCGCTGCATGAGACATCCATGTGATAGTATAATCTGAGACAGACCGATCCAACCAAGGGAAGGTCAGCTGTGATCACAGCAGGCTGCCCACAACACTGTCAGTGGGAACAGAAGCGTAAAGCTTCACTCTTCTCCAAGCAAGTCAAGTTGCAGGTTTATCAAACACAAGCAGAGCACTTCACATCATTTGCTTTCAGAGGCAGAGAGACAGATGAATGCAGTTGTTGCTGAGAGCAACAGTTCTGCTAGCTACCTGGCCTTTTTCTTTCCCAAATTTCTGCAGTCTGGTTGCATTTGTTCAGCGTTACCACATCATGAATCTCTCTTGAATAAATGCAGTTTCCATCAGGATTTTCTTTACTGTATTTGTCAAAGAATACACGAGCGAGTGTGTGGCTAAAACAAATCCCAGTAGATTCCCTGAAGCAAATTTATACTTCTTTTTTTACATTTTTGTTCAGGAATTATGGTCAGCTTTAATATCCAGCATCTGCTGAGATTTTCAAAAGACTCCAAAGACCCAGCATCAGAAGGCAATAGCCCCCCTCACCTGCCCATGTTCTTCGAACCTTCCACAACATCCAGTTGTGCCCTCCTCAACTCATTTCACCTGCTTGTCATCCTCTCTGTACTCATAGCTTTGCTAAAAACTTATTTTTGCCAATTCATAAAATATCCACTGTTATTCCTCCTTTTAGGCAAAGAATATTTTTAAATTTAATTTAATTGAAATTAAAGTTCTTTGATAGAGAAAACACCTCAATGCACAATGACAATTTTGTTTAGAATGGCAATTTCTTGCCACAGAGGGATAACCATGAGGTGGAAAATAGGCCATGGAAGGACCAACATGGAGCTCTAATTTGGTCAGACCTGTGACTGTGACAGAAACATACCTCACGCTTTCAGCAGGTTATCCATGGGCCAGGACACCTTCTAAAGCATCCACAGAAAAGCCACTCTACTTCCAATATACCCTACAGCACATACTGTCCACTGGCTCTACCACCTCCATGAGGTCTTTTGGGACAGCCTGTGCATTAGCAATGGAAAAGGATTGCCTGAGAACGAAACCTCTTTTAGCTGTGTAATACATCATTTTTGTAAAATGTATGAATCAAACAAGGAATTTATGGACAGACATCATTCCCTGTAGCAAAAATATGAGCTGTGATGATCAAATTGTTTATAGTGAAGCAAAGAAAGTACTCAACAAGTAGTTCTGCACTGTATTTACATGCTTTCATCACTGGAATGTGATGAAATACTTTCCAGCCCCTTAGTAACCAGGAGGATGTTAAGCAACACGTACTATAGTAAACACTTTAAAATCAGCAGACCCATATAACTGGCAACAAAAGATTGTGAAGGCTTGACTAGGAAGACTTGACTGGCCTGCTCATACTCATTACTGTTATCTTTAAGAGTGTTCTATCATAAGCAAAAGAATGGAAAATCTGAAGGAGGATTCAACTAATAAAATTATTAGTATATAGTAATACAATAAATATCG